CTAATGAAGTGGACGCTTTGAAAAAGGAACTAGAAGTTGCAATGCTGAAAATTGAGGAGTTCAGAACTCGAGCAGAACAGGCTTTTACGCGAGCTGAAACAGCAGAGAGAGCTAAAACAGCAGTAGAAGGTCAGCTAAGGAAGTGGCGAGAGCAGAAGGAAAAGAGAAAAGCTGCTTTAGCTGCACTTCGCGAGGAATCCGTGGGTAGAGAATATGATCCTCCTGGACACATGACTGCACCCAAAAAATACCAACCATTGGGGGAAGTCCTCAATATGAAATTCTAGACCTGGAAATTCTTCCAAACTATCAAATGCTCGTTTGCAGATTGACATAGACCGTTTCAGGGGTTAAGGGCATTTGTGCGAACACCTCTTATCAATTGCGTTATATACATATGATCATTTTGTCTGTAGAGCTACTCCATTTCTGACCAGAACATTTCATGTTGAACAGCTTCTATTTTGATTTGTAAGAATAAGCTACTTGTTCCTTGCTGCCTTTGTAAACTCCTTATTTGTATCATTGAAGAGTAATCATCTTTTCAATTTGGCATGATTGATTGTAATAATTGAAATGAATCTTATTAAAAATTTGTTTATATACACGGGGAATGAGAGCTTGTGCTAAGGATAAAATTTGCCAATAGCTCATCAAATCATCTGTGGAAGTACAAACCAAGCACTTGGGTCTCAAAGTAAAAATATTGAAAATTTTGAGCCCAATTTATGCAAATCATGGGCCTAACCACACAAAAAAAAAAAAAAAAAAAAAAAAGAAAGAAAAGTCGAAGTCACTCTAGCAAAAAATCTGAATGAACAGAACAAAAAACTATGCACTTGCCATCTCTTGTCTCTTATCTCATTCTTTAACACACAAAGAGTAAAATTTTATAAATTATAGTATTGAAAATACGAGTTTAGCTGATTTAATTATACGACAACAAATGCATGCGTAAACTACAACAAATTTGTATATATCAAACGACTAATCTAAAAATTGAATTATTGAAATACAATATATTTAAATTAAATACATAGTGAGAGTTACAAAACAAAAATATAATTCCAAAAAAGGTAGAGATCAAATTAAGTTAACATTAACCCAAATTAGCATACAAATTTCCCAAGTTGAATTGTATTTGAAATCTCTGAATTGATGTGGGTCAATGGTTTTAGTTTGAACAATATCCCCAAAAAGGGTGTGTGGAAATATTTCTAAAAGAGTGTGCGATTAACGTGAAGGAAAAAGAAAGCCACGTTGACATTAACGGAAGAATCCCATACGGTACCGTGTGGTTGCCTAAAATTATTCCAACCCATTTTCAATTTCTTTAAATAAATTTGTTTTATTTGCACTCTTTCAAAGGGAAAAAAAAAAAAAAACACTTGTTTTGACCAACCCATCAAAATTATGCGTCTTGTTTGGTCTACACATTTTGGTTTTCTACCTTTCAATGCCACCTCGTTATCAAACACTTGTCCAATTTTTTCTACTTCTTTACCAAGAAATGTCTTATTTTTGTCTTCTTTTTGGTTTCTTTCCATTTGAAAAGGAAATTGAAGAAAAACATAGCATGAGATTTGTAAATTTAACTCATGATATAGGATTTATTTTTTTCTTTTTAGAAAATAACATTCATACATCACAATTGGGTTATGTAACATCCCAAATCTGAAAATTTGACTCGGGATGAGAAATTTTATTTTTCTAAATAATAATAATATATAAATTTCTTAATTTTAATTATTTTTTAAAAATATATATATGTTGAGCGCATTTGAAAATAAATTTTAAAAATATAACAAAAATGCAAATAAATGAGAACATGTTTGAAAGAACAATTTAAAAGCAGAGGTTGAATCGTAAAAAGGGAAAAATGCACCACGTGGATGCCCAGTCAGCAGCACAGCAAATCGCTGCATGCTGCGTGGCGACCACATCACGCACAGACTCCACGCGGGAAGGCTACTTTGGCAATCCACGTGCCAGGAAGATCGGACGGCTCGTGTCCACTTATGCGCTTGCGAACCACCCAGATCAATTCTTCGAATAGGCCCCAATTGAACGGCTCCTGTTGCCCCATACAAACCCAGACAGACGGCCCAAATTGATTTCCCAAATAGGCCCGATCGAACGGCATCAGCGCTCCATGTCGATCCAAACGAGTGGCCAAGATTAGGGGAAGAAAGGTATTTAGACCTCTCTTAAGTTGCCCCAAAACCCTAGCCGATGCAGGGACACCAAAGAAGAAGAAGAAGGGCAGCCAAAAGGGAACTTAGCCTCTAGAGGAACGCTGGTGCCACCGTGTCGGAACACCAAAACACTTTGGTAAGCCCAAAATTCTTTTTCGTTCCTTTTATTTCTCCGCTCTTAGCCGCCTAACACATTTCTGATGCAGGGTGACCGAGAGAAGCCGTAAATCGCAAGGGAGAGACGGTGGAGCTCGGTTGAGCTGCCACATCGAAGGACCAAAATCACCACTAAGACCATATTTTTTTCCCTTTTTTCACCGAAAAACACTCCCTAACCACGATTTAAACAAATTTTTACCAGAAACTGGCCAAAATTAGTTCTACCGAAAGGAAGAACTGCTGGAGAAGGAGGATCAGGCAGCGGAGCATGGTGCCGCCACCACGTTAGAACCCTAACTCAGCCCCCAGTAATATTTTTTTACCTTTTTTTGGCCATTCTTTGCGTATTTTCATGCTATTTTGATGTACGTTTTCAATCTTACCAAGAAAACTTAAAAAATTCAAAAATTGAGAACTGTCGAGAACTATAATAAAAAAGTAGTGTCTTGGACACCAACCCAGTGTAAAAATCTCTCACTCTTTCTCCTGTTACAGTTAAATTGAAGTTAAATTAATAATAAATAGAAAATTATAAATAGTTTGATGATACATTGATTAAGTAAATACAGGTCGCCAATGGAGTCAGTAATCGATCCATGTATATTTGTCACTAGTTTAATTGTGTTAGTTAGTTCTACAATCACTTTGTTTTGTCTATTTATTTGTTTTGTTCTATTTTAATTTATCTCAATCTATTTGCCTTAATCTATGTCTTCTCAGTCAGTATGATATATTTCCAGTTATTCTTGCTTTATATCTATCTAGAATTAATATATTAATCATGCATATTGAGTCATTGTGTCCTATTCCATTATGTTTCATTATCACGTCCTACTATACTTAATTTCACATTGATTTAATTATTTAATTGTTTATTCATCATATTGCGACGTTTGAAATTCTTATTCTAATATCTTTATTTATCATCTTTTATTTTACGAGTTTATTTACTTACGCATTCTAAAATATGAATTTCGTACTCTTGTATTGTTTGGGATACAAGCATATGTGTCATTGATGGCTAAATAGTAAATAAAAAAATTTATACGTAAATTAATGCTGTTGAATGAAATGGCTTACTGGTGTCATAAAAAAGACTGTATGAACTTGATACATAGGGTGAATCCTACCATAAACGTTACTTTCAGTCGTATGGGGCTAAAAAATCTCATACCGGATGAAGTTAAGACTTTATAAGTGTAGCTCATACCAGACGAAGTATTGATGCGTTTTTTTTAGTTGTGGTGCTTATTACTGAACGGAGTATGAAGACAACTGATCTAATTACAAAGAAAGTATATGTATCCACGTGTAGTGGGGATCCCTATGGACCCCCAGCGACAGTAGTAGGGATCCTTATGTGTAACACCCAAAATTTGTATTTTTATTATTTAATTTATTTTAATTTTTATTAGAATTTTTGTTTAATTTTATTCTATTTTAATATTTAATTTACAAGATTTTAATTAAATTTAATAGAAATAAAAATAAAAATAATAATAAAATAGGATAAAATTATTTTTGGGATTAATTGAAATTGA